AATCAGAAAAGCAACTCCTTTTGTAATAGCCCCACAAAAAATAAAATACCTAGGAATTAACTAAAGAAGTGAAGGAGCCCTGTGAGGAAAAGTTTAAAAACCTGCAAAAAGAAATCAAAGCAGAACTGAAGAACTGGAAAAACCTTCCATACTCCTGGATTGGGAGGAATAACGTCTTGAAATTGGCAATACAGCCAAAGGCTATCTACAAATTCAATGTGACACCTATCAATATTCCAACCTCATTGTTCAATGAAATAGAAGAAACAATCCAAAAATTTATATGGAACAGTAAAAGACCCCGAATAACAAAAAAATCCGTAGCAGAAAGAACAGTGCTGGAGGAATATCAATATCAAATTTCAAACTAAGCCATAGCTTGGGACTGGCACAAGAACAAACCTGAGGACCAATGGAATAGAACTGAAGACCCAGAAATGAACCCACAGACCTATAACCACCTAATCTTCAATAAGGGAGCAACAAAACAGAATGGAAGAATGACAGCCTCTTCAGTAAATGGTGCTGGCAAAATTGGTTATTCACCTGTAACTAAAGCTAGATCTTTATATATCACCCTTCATCAGAATTAGCTCCAAATGGATCAAAGACCTTGAAATAAAAGCAGACACCCTTGTGGAATTGGATTTCTTTTTGCTTTATATGTCCCTCCCCCACAGTATAATGCTTGTTTTCACTGTATTTGATGTTGGTATACTTTGTGTAGGGGAAGGGAAAAAACAAATTATTTAAATAGGGATACAAGTGAACCCATTGCAACAATGAGATGTACAAGTCGTTATGTCGAGAAACGAACTTTACAACTTTGGGAAGGGATGGAAAGGGGGAAAAAAGGAGGAGGCAACAATGCTTGATAAGAAATGTACTCATTTCCCTGCTCGTATAATTGTAACCCCTCTGTTCACAGTTAAAAAAGAAAACATCACTTCCTTAAAAAAATAAATAAAAATAAATAAATAAAAGCAGACACCCTGAAAACATTACAGGAGAAACTCTAGGGCTCTAAGCTTAGCACAGGCTTAAAATTTCTTAATACAGACCCTGAAACACAACAAATCAAAGAAAGGTTGGAAAAATGGGATTGCATGAAACTTTAGAGTTTCTGCATGGCAAAGGACATAGCTAGCAAAATCAATAGAACATCTTCACATCTGTAATCCTAGCTACTTAGGAGGCTGAGATCTGTGGATCACGGTTCAAAGCCAGCCTGGGCAGGAAAGTCTGTGAGATTCTGATTTCCAATAAACCATCAGAAAACTGGAAGTGGTACTGTGGCTCAAGCGATAGAGCGCTCACCTTGAGCTGAAGAGTGCAGGGACAGCACCTAAGCCCAGAGTTCAAGACCCACGACTGACCAAAAAAAAAAAAAAATTAAATCCCCCAACAACAAACCTTAAAAGAAAAAACTGCTCCATTAATAGGTAGGCTAAAGACTTGAAGAGAGACTTCTCTGAAGAGGAAATAAGAATGGCCAATAGACACATGAGAAATGCTCAACTTCTCTAGCCATAAAAGAAATGCAAATCAAAACAACATTGAGATTCCACCAGTTAGAATGGCTATAATCAAGAACTGTAATAACAACAGATGCTGGAGGGGATATGGCCACATGAGAACCTTACTGCATTGTTGGTGGGAGTGTAAACTTGTTCAACCACTTTGGAAAGCAGTGTGGAGGTTCCTCAAAAGACTACACATAGAGCTCCCCTATGACCCAGCAATCCCACTTTTAGACATTTACCCAAACACAAATAAGGTGATACTAAAGCTACCAGCATAACTATGTTTATTGCAGCACTATTCACCATACCTAAGATATATAACCAACCCAGATGCCCCTCAGTAGATGAATAGATCAAGAAAATGGAATTCTATGGCTACATCAGAAAGAATGACATTGACACATTTGTTAGGAAATGGAAAGACTTGGAAAAAATTATATTAAGTGAAGTAAACCATGCCCAAAGAAACATATGTCCCATGGTTTCCCGTATTTGTAATAACTAGTATATGTCTAAGACAAGCAGAAAAGGTCAAAAGCTATACATATATATATATACATATATATGATCATATATGATTAAATTAAGTGAAATGAACCCCAAACACAAGTGGTTTTATCTTTCTTGTATATATATATATATATATAATATATATATATATATTATATATATATATAAAACTTGTTTTTGATTCACTCATGTATCAAAGTGCATTTGAGATGTTTCCATAACTTGGATATGGCGAATAGTATAGTAATGAGTATGATTGTGCAAGTATCTTTACTATATTCTGATTTATAATCTTTTGGATAAATACCCAAGAGTTGTACCATTAGATCCTAGGTAGTTTTCCATTTATTATTTTTTATAAAGTACTATAATGCATTTTTTATTTTATTATTAAGTAGTTTCCCAAAGAGTTTGCAATTCTTTATGTTAGGTTATGGATATAATGTATTTTGAAAAATGCCACTCCTTTTTCATGAATTTTAACACATTCATTCATATCTTCAAGTATTTCATCTTTTTCTGTCAATCTCTCAAATGCCTATTTGCCCCACATCTTTGATAACTTCTAAGTGCCTGATTCCAAACTCTCTATGCAACATATGACACCACAGCCAACTTAATTATTTTATATACCCTACACATACATTAAGTTGTTTTCATTTATGAAATACCAGATAAAATTTCCTTATTAAAAATTTTAATGACTTTTTCCTCTCAGTGTCTTGTCCCAGAATATGCTGAGTGGAGAAAAATTGGAAAATCTATTGAACAGTTTAAAAAGAGTAGCCTTTGTGCATGACAGATGTCTATCTTCAAAGATTCTTTATGTAGGCATAGATATGTAGATCGATAGATAGATGATAAAAATATGAAATGGGACTCTTACCAAAGAATCACTGCAAGAGGGCTGGGAAGGTGGCTCAGTGGTAGAGTGCTTGCCTTGCATGCATGAGGCCCTGGGTTCGATTCCTCAGCACCACATAAGCAAAAAGAAAAGTTCAGAAGTGGCGCTGTGGCTCAAGTGGTAGAGCGCTAGCCTTGAGCTGAAGAGCTGAGGGACAGCGCCCAGGCCCAGAGTTCAGGCTCCATGACTGGACCAAAAAAAAAAAAAAAAAAGAATCACTGCAAGAGAAGAGAGAAGATGCAGGTGCATATGATCTAAGTATATTACAACAAGCAGAGCATAATGAAACTTGCTAAACTTGTAAAATCATTCTGGGCCCTGGATCTGCTATCTTAGCTACTCATATAGCTGATGTATGAAAGTCTAGGTTCCAGGCCAGTTTCATAAGAAAAGTTCAAAGAACTCCTTCTCCACATGAGTCTCTATCTCTAAAATAACAACAAAAAAGGAGGGTGAAAAGCAATAGTGGGATAAGAAAGAATAACAGGAAGAGTGAAGATGATCCAACTACAATTTTGTGTATGGAAGTATTGCAACAAAACAATTTTTCCAATTAGTAATCACTAATATCGGCTTTACCCTTTTTGTAACGTGAGCAAATGGTAAAGTTAACAATAGTACATAAACAGTAACTGGCATGTGATCTGTTTTAAGAGGCTTCAGTTCTCTGTAGAGAATTCCCTTCAGTCAAAATATAACTCTACCTTTCCCTTCTGAAAAAGAAAATTCGATACCTTTTTTATTTTTTCATTTTTATTTATTTCACATAATTTCTTTCCTTTTACTTTTTACTTTTTGTTGATTTTTTCAAAACTACAGAGGAAGGACTTGAGTTAACACAAAAACAACAGAGGACTTTCTAATGAAATAAGTTATATTAACTTTGGAAGTAAAGATCTATGTTCATATGTTATGCACAATCCTGCTTGTCAATGAGAAAGATATATAAATCAGATTTCATTTTATCAACCATAAAATTAAAATTTTTATTGAAGGTATGTTACACCAGTTTATATAACTCAAAGTACACCCTAAAAATATAAATTCTGTAAAGCTATAACAGAGAGGTCTGGACAGAATTACCAGAAAGAAACTAGAAAAATTCCACTAAACATGTATTTGTCCACATTTTACCAATCCTTATAGTAATATTCAAATTAGTAAATGAAGAAATAGTAGAAGAAATAATAGACTAGACCCTCTATTAAGCAAACAGTATAGTAATAAATGCTGAAAAGTAGGTGAGAAATGTCTAATCTTCATTTATTTAATCTTCTTTCTTAATAAGTTTAAGTACCCTTAATCAGCTTAAGTAGAAAACCTTATATTTCTCAAATATGTTGCCTTCTTTATTTCTATTCATTATGAAGCTGATTTTCGCCATGTGCATTTGTTTGTTCAATCTCTTATGTTTTCATTTTTGACAGCTACCAGTCTTTCTTTAGGTTTCATCATTGAAGAAAAATGGTCAGTTATATTTCAGACATATTTTGAAAAACATTTTCCCTCTCATGTTCCTTTATTCTTCTAAGTATCTATCTTTAACCAAAGTCTGCTCCCATCCCAGAAGACAGTAAAAATAATTAAATTGACACAAAAGAGAGAGAATCTTTGTCTGAGGCTCTGAAGCAGTGCAACCCTTTAAAAATGATCTTGTCTTCTTTTCTTCATATAATGTAAAAGGCAACTACATACAAGTATGTTACCAAGTTTTTAAGAAAAGATCTTCTCCTGGGTTTCCACAAAATTTTCAATGCACTGATTCTGTAAGAGATACCATATTAAACTTATATTAAACTTATATTAGCTCTTTTACTGCATTTAGAAATTTATAGTAAAATACCATTTTAGCATATTTAAAATAGAATTATTAAAATACTAGAATTGATTCCCAACCAATATCTAAGTGTTTTTCATCTGCTGTACAGATGTCATATAGGTGTTTCACCTCATCAACCAAAGGAACAAAGTTCTCTCAACCTGTGTTCTTTGTTAACTCTAGAAGTTAACCATTGACCTGTGTCATATCTAAATATCCACTTCAACACCACACTCACTCAATCTCTGCAGATCAGTCTAGAAGCATTATGTCTCTGAAGTGGGCTTTGACAATTCTGCTACTTCAGCTGTGCTGTGTGGGCCATGGATGCTGTGGGAAAGTCTTGGTGTGGCCCTGTGAAATGAGCCATTGGCTCAACCTAAAGACGATTCTCGATGAACTCACTGCAAAAGGACATGAGGTGACAGTTTTGATATCGTCTACTAATATCTTAGTGGACTACAGAAAGCCTTCTGCACTGAATTTCGAGGTGATCCAAGTGCCTTATGACAGAGAGAGTGCAATGAAGGAAATGGAAGACTTTGTAGATCTACTTGTGAATGACAAACCAACAATGCCATTCTGGCAAGCAGCAAGCACATTCCAAAAACTCTTTCTTAACAACACTAGAACATTTGAAATGCTCTGTAAGAGTGCAGTCTACAATCAGTCACTCATGATGAAGCTCCAGGAAACCAAGTATGATGTAATGGTGATCGACCCTGTCATTCCTTGTGGAGAGCTGGTGGCTGAGTTGCTGGAGATACCTTTTGTGCTTACATTCAGTGTCTCCATAGGCAGCACCATAGAGAGATACTGTGGGCAACTCCCAGCACCACCTTCCTATGTACCTGTGGCGTTTGGAGGACTAACAGACAGAATGACCTTTGTGGAAAGGGTGAAAAATATGATGCTTAAATTTTTCTTTGATTTTTGGCTCCCACAATATGACTTCCATTTTTGGAATCAATTCTATAGTGAAGTATTAGGTAAGAGAATCTGCTTTTCATGTAATAGATCAAAATGGTTAAGAAGCTCAAGAAATGTCTCACAAACTAAAAGAAATATGTATTCAAAATTGTTTTCTACACAAAATGATAGTTGATAACAACGGATTTGTTTTGTCAGCACTTGAATATGTGGCTTTATGCTCAGAGTTAAGGCTAACACAGAATAACAGATGTAGGAAATAAAAGGATTCTACATCTTTATCTTTGCTAAAATAACTAAGCTAAATTTTCTTTATTGTGATAATTAGTGAGAATAGAAGGGCTTACATAGTTCAAGAAGATAACATACAAGAACATATGGTATATCATGTTTAACCATTAAAATGTGTGGGGATCCTGTGGGTATTAATACTAAAGATTAAAGGTAATCCTTAAGATAGGTGCTTACCTCTATCATCTTTAATAAGTTTTCCTTTTGTTATAAGGTAATGGTCTATTTGATTCTTATTCCTATGTGTTCTCTTGTTTCTTTGATGGACAAATACCATTCACTATTAGTATAATTGTAAAAAAAATTAGTATAATTGTAAAAATGTATTGTGCACAAATGGCTAACAATTCATGTGAAGCTAAAGTATATATGTTAATAGTTGGCTTCTCGTTTCTTCTCAGAACTGTTAACTTTATTCAACATCCTATCAAGAAATTATCCACTAAGAAAAATTGCTATGCAAATGTGTCTTTTTCTAATTACAATCGCTAAATACTTATTTTTACATTTTATATTAACTGTTGTATTTAGGTCAGATTTATTTATGTACAATATATACATTTATTTATTACAATATGTACATTCTGTACATTTTAAAAACATAATTCAAAGTTTCAACACTTATAAAATAATGCAGATACCATAATTTGTGGAGGGGAAGGGGAAAAACAAATCGTTTAAATAGGGATACAGGTGGACCCATTGCAACAATGAGGTGTACAAGTCGTTATGTCGAAAACGAACTTTACAACTTTCGTGGGGGAGAGGGGAGGATTGGGTGGGAGGGAGGAGGGAGGATGGGAAGGGATGGGAAGGGGAAACAAAGGAGGAGGCTGCAATGCTTGATAAGAAATGTATGCATTATCCTGCCCATGTAATTGTAACCCCTCTGTACAGTATGTTCTCAAATAAAATTAAATTAAATTAAAAAAAAAAAAAAAAAAAAAAGAAATGTACTCATTATATTTCCCATGTAATTGTAACTCCTCTGTACAGTATTTTCACAATAAAAAAAAAAATAATGCGGATACCATTCTGTTATAATTCCATAAATCCTCAAAGACATAGTTTCTTGTTTGTTTACTAGTTTAGTGGTACAGGGTTTTGAACTTAAGGCAAGCTGTCTATCATTTCAGCCATAACTCACACCTCCTATATATGTATATGTGTATATATATATATATATATATATATATATATATATATTACTTCAGCTAAATAGATCTAAAATTTATGTTCTGCTTCTCTAAGGTCTCTTTAAAGATTGCTAAGATTAAAACCCTGATCAATTTTCTGTCAGCAATTGCCATAGGAATAACAGTCATTAAATCATGTAGGGATATATTCATTATTTGCAATGTGTTACTTTCTTTCTAATGACTTATTTCTATATTCTTTTTTATTTTCTTTTTGATTTTTGATATTAGATAGACAGATAGCTAGATCTACTTCACCATTGTCTAGATAATTTTATTGTTAGTTACTATTTTGCTATAGCAATGCATAACATGATTGAGCAATTATTATCTAGTATACCACTGGCTTTTTCCACCATAATGAGAATACTCACAATATTCAAAATAAAAGGCTAAAATTAATTAAACTTTTTTCTATTTTGGAAACTTTTTTGGTCTAAGAAAACTTCCTATATTTCTGATTCAATTACATCTTTTGAAATTAGGCAGTATTTCTATTATTTTACATAATCATAGGATTTTTCTCATTTTACCACTTAAGTTTTAATTTACATGTGTAGTTTTAGGCTAACATTTTAATTCCTAGACAATTTAGACTTAGGATATCTCCTATTGAAAAGCTTAGGTGTGGCGGACTTGCCTAGCAGGTATCTCTTTTCTGACTTCAAACCCAGGGATGCCAAACAATTATACCATATTTGGTAACTTAACTATTTTCAAGAAATAGCTTTTGTTTTTCAGTGAGATTGATCGCTAATTTCCTAATATAAAAATACTGCTTTTTAATCATATTGATTATTCTATTTTATATTTTTCCTGTACTTCTTCTCTAACTCCTTTACTTATATGGACTTTATTTTTCTCCTAATTAGTAAATGCTTAAATTTATTACAGATCTTTATTTGTTGGATTTCATTTAGTTCACTATTATTTTAGTTATTTTCTTATTCTATATATTTGCTGATTTCATCATTGACAGATCATTTTTTTAAGTTTTCACTTTTATGTTAAAAGCAGTATGTATGTCAGCAGGTGTGAAACTTACGTTTTGTAGCAGTACATTGTAAACTTCAGTTACCTAGGATAAAAGTCATTTGCTAAAGTTAGTAAGCCTTATTTTTGCAGAGCAATTCTTGCAAATGGGCTCAGTGATTTTAATCTCTTTTACTTACTTTTTTCCTCTCCTTTTTTCCTTTCCTCATTCCCTCCTTCTTACCTTTTCACCTCCATTTAAATTGGACTTATTCCTGAGGACTGGAATTTTCTCTCTAGTAGCTATAATGAAATGAGTGATGTGTTATTTTCCTCAACAAAGCTACATACAAATCTTTGTCATAGAAATATTCTTCCTTCCCCCCCTCCACCAGGAAGACCCACAACATTGTGTGAAACTGTGGGCAAAGCTGAAATGTGGCTAATCCGGACATATTGGGATTTTGATTCCCCTCACCCATACTTACCCAATTTTGAGTTTGTCGGAGGATTGCACTGCAAGCCTGCCAAACCTTTACCTAAGGTAGGTCTCTAATTGGGAAACTTTTATGTGCCTTATAATAAAATACCAGATATCCATTTACTGTTAATACCTTCATTCACAGAAATACGTTACTAGGTATTTTGAGATTGCACAAGCTAATTTGTTTTCCTCATTGTAAGGTGGATTTTTATGAGTCATACTGGATCTTTTGAATTCCCTTGCAAACTGAGGCTATGTTAAAAATGTGTGTGTGTGTGTGTGTGTGTGTGTGTGTGTGTGTGTGTGTGTGTACTGTAGACATTGGAATAGAAGGACATCAAAGCAGAATCATAGAAATTAATGGTGTTCCTAAAAGACTTATGGAGGTATTAACTGGCTCATTCTCCAGAATTTTTGACCAAGAAAGAAGCCTTCATGAGAGCTCATGAAGTGCATAGGATTTGATGAGTTAGAAAAAGTAAGAGTTGAGGGAAAGACATAGATTGAACTGATGCTCTCAGATTTTAGTCTTGGATAATGGTGAACTTCTTTTCATAAAAAAGAAACAATTGGTGAAAAAAATTCTGAGTTGATGATGATGATTTTAGTTTTTAACTAAAAATTCAATTGATGAATCCAAAATTCATCAATTGTTTGGGTGTTAAAAGACCTCGGTCTCAACAAACTGTTCTAGAAATAGATTGTGAGAACATAACAGAAAGTAACTTGTAAAGTTGACATGCTCAGATATTGTGCTATTTTAAGATTATTGTAGATAACCAAGAAAATTATATAATACCTAATAAGAATAATGTTTTAGAATGACATGTATGTTGAAAGTAAAGCATACAAAGGCATAAATGTTAATATTCATGCATGGCATGACTCATTCATTTATTTAGTAATAGGTAGTAAGGACAGAATATTCAATTATTTTTTAGAAAGTAAACAAGCACAAATTCTATTAAGGACTTCAGGTTAAATGATGTTCCCATGAGAGTTCTTGATTTCTGTTTCGGTTGAATAAGTCATTTTCAAATTAAAATTTTATTTTAAGATGCTGATAATATTTTAATTACTAGTTAAGTTATGGCTGAAGGGAAGTTTATGGAGCATTGATCCATGAAAGTTAATGGCTGAAAGTCTAATTAATACACAGAAAGAGACAGCTCTCTGGATAATAATTTCTAACCACACATATATCTATCTTCCTACTCCACTTGAAACACACACAAATTCATAAATACTCAGACAGAATTTATGAGAGAAACATGGCATTCCATTCCAATACCAACAACATCAATTAATAATTTATATGTGGAAAAAGATGGATAGTTATGTATGTAGTTGAGTATCCACAACTCATGCTCACTTCCTTCCTTCCTTCCTTCCTTCCCTCCTTCCTTCCATTATCTTTAAGTGGTAGTCCAAATGGATTCAATTCAACATGTCAGTTGTCAGTGTAATGCATATTGGTTCATGTTACTCCTTACCCCTTTTTCCATCTCTCCCAAACAAACCCATCCTGACAAATTACCTGATTCCATTTTCACATAAGTACATTTAACGTTGTGACTGTATTTACCTACCCTTCCTCTATGTCTTCCCCAGTCATTTTTAACTCCTAATCCTCCCAAGAACATGTTTCAACTTTCTGGTATTCATGTTGTTAAACTAATTTATTCAAAGGACTACTACACCATTGGACTCCTCAACTGTGTGTACCATACTGTAGTCAATTTGTTTGTCTATACATGCATATGAATGTGTATACCTTTTCATATATGAGATGATTTGATTTAACTTCCATATATGAGAGAAAATATGCTCTCTTGTCTCTCTGAGCTTGAATTACTTCGCTTAATTTTTTCCATGTCTATCGATTTTCTTGCAAATGAGCTATTACATTTCTTGATTGAAGAATCCATTGCACAGTGATATCTATACCGGGACTGGGGTGAATAGTGTAGCAACAAACATGCGTATGCTCAATGTAATCTTTTGGGGAAATGTTCAAGTGTAGTATTACCTGATTTATGTGTACCATCTTGAGGAATTACCAAATTGCTTTCCGTACTGGTAACACTAGTTTCCATTCCCAGACAGAGTGTGCTTTTGTTGTGGTGGTTGTTGTTGTTTTTATTTGTTTTGTTGGTCTTGGGGCTTGCACTCTGAGCCTGGGTGCTGTCCCTCAGCTCTTCAGCTCAAGGCAAGCAGTGTACCTACTCTTGAGCCACAGTGACACTTCCGGTTTTCTGGTGGTTAATTGGAGATGAGTCTCACAGATGTTCCTGCCAGAGCTGGCTTTTAACCTTGATCCTCAGATCTCAGCCTCCTGAATAGTTAGGATTATAGGCGTGAGCCACCTGCACCTGGCCCATTGTGGTTTAAAGTTCTTTTTCCCTTGCACCTGGGCTAGCATTTGCTGTGCCCCACCACTGGAATTGCTTAGCTACTAGGGCCTTCTAACATGAGTTTAAGTGTGTTATATTCTTCTAAATTACAGTGCTCTAGATCATATTCCTAATACATTTTTTCTAAGCCATATTAATCAGGGAAAGTAATTTTTGAGACAAATAATATTTAATGCTTTTCTAATAGGAATGTAGATAGCTTGTTTATATTTGTTAGATAGAAGTGACACGCTAATAATTTTTAAAGCCTTAATATTGACTTTATCTTGGGCTTTCATTTATGGAATCTATTTTTCACTTTGCCAACAACTTTGCTAAGTGAGAAAAAATAAACTTTAAAATAACGATTCCACATATCAGGGAAAAAGCTACCCTTTACTGCGTGTTCACTTTTTGTAGTGATTTATTCTGTTAGTTGGGCTTAATGTTCATTTTAGCCATATTTTTCAAACATGCTTCTTAAAAATCTACATTCAGCTCCATACGATTACAAAATTGGCAGAAGATTTATCTGGTATTTCTCTAATTTTCTTACTCTGAGCTGTAGGTGGATTTTTCCACTCTCCATGATTGTTTTCCTTGGGTTGTGTGTGTGTGTGTGTTTGAGTATGTTATTTTCTTTAAGTAGTACAAAGAAGTTTCCTTTCAACTGAGCAGTTTATGACTATAATACATCTCAATCAATGTCATCCCTTTCATTATTCTCACCCACACCACAGCCTTCCCATATTTTCCTTAATTTTTAGCATATATATTGGTTTTTTGCCCTCTAAAAAAGCAATTCATATATACAACAAATTCTGGTCTGTGTAATCCCTTCAACATCTTCCTCCCACTTTCACCAATCCATTCCCTCATTTTTCTCAATTCTGCAGTGTATACAATGCAGTCTTGCCAATATGCTACATCTTTCTCCCTCTCATTTTCTACCCCTTGCCACTGCCACCTGCACAGTACCAATTTCCTGGTACTTATTTTCTTGGGATTTAACTTGGGTTTTCTACTGAATTATATTATTTGAACTCTCCATAGAGTCTATTACACTTCAGTTAATTCATTTGTAACCACTTGCATAGCACTCTTTGTTTACTTATACATTTATAAGCATATTCTAGCACCCATATATGAGGAAAACCATGCAATCTATGTTTCTCTAGGTCTGGTGCAATATCATTCTTTCTGATTGGTGAGTAGAATTCCATTGTGTATATATAACACATTTTTTAAACCATTTGTCCATTCAGGGGTATCTGAGCTGATTCCATATCTTGACTAGGGTAAATATGCTACAATAAATATGTTTATGTCTATAGGAAATGGAAGAATTTGTTCAGAGTTCAGGAGAAAATGGTGTGGTAGTGTTTTCTCTGGGTTCCATGGTCAAAAACCTCACAGAAAAGAAGGCCAGTGCCATTGCTTCAGCCCTTGCTCAAGTTCCACAGAAGGTCAGTAAATTGCTGGTCAGGAAAGCAGAGAAGCATTTTATTAACTAAAGCAAGAATGTAGCTAATGGAGAACTTTGTAGGGAGAAATCACAGTTCTTTGTTGTTTGTTGTTGTTGTTGTTGTTGTTTGTTGTTGTTGTTGTTGTTTTCATTTTAAAACAGTAACCACTTAAATTCTCTACTTAAGGATACTAATTAAGCCTGAAATCATTATAGATGTGAGAAAGCATTCTGGATTATAAACAGGCACACTAAACAGGCCAACTGGGTATCCTTTTCAGCTTTGTATCTAACACAGAATACATACGTGAGAACCAGAAATATCAGACACAGAAAGGTAGCAGTTTAGTTTGCATACATATTTGAAATGTGATTATTTGAAGGACTTGACATAAACAACTACTTCAATAAACTTTGACTTAGCTACTACTCAGTTTTGTGCCCTTCAAAATGACAAGCTTAAGAGTACACAAGAATTACTATAATTGATGGTCATAAACAATGGGATACTGGTTTTACATCGGTGTATTAAATCAATTTTATCTAAAAGAAACCAGGTTTTTTTCTTAATATTTTAATGCTTCTTTTTTTTTTTTTTTGATCACTTGAGGGGACAATGCCAGCCTGGAGCTTGAACTCAGGGCCTGGGAACTGTGCCTGAGCTTCTGTTGCTCATGGCCAGAGCCTTCTACCACTTGACCTACAGCAACACTTCTGAATTTTCTAAATAGTTTTGTTGGAGACAAGAGTCTCCTGGCCTTTTCTGTTCCAACTGACTTCAAACTGCATTATCCAAATCTAAGCTTCCTAAGTAGCTAGGATTACAGGCATAAGCCACCACAATGAGGCTTAAAAGTTAAAACTCTTTAGACACTGAGTGTACCTGATATTAGCATCATCTAGAAAATTATTTATAAAAATATATTAACCATATTTGATCATTTGCCTACTGAATTATCTCCTAAATTATGGTGCCTGGGTCATTATAAATAATTCTACAACCTTGATTCACCCTCAATGTGAACTGATCCTCAAAAGCACAATGGTGCCTTCCACAGGTTCTATGGAGATACCAGGGAAAGACTCCAGCAACATTAGGATCCAATACTCGGCTCTTTGATTGGCTACCCCAGAATGATCTTTTGGGTAAGACTGTGGGGAAAGAAAAGCTGTACTGCTGATCAGCAGACATGATAAATAACTCTTTGTATAGCAAATAAATTGAAAACAGTTTAATTCATTTATGATACATGTTACATTTCCAGTTTAAAAGCGACACAATCATATATTCAATCATTGGTTTAGAGATTCATGCTTGCCCTGGATCACAAAGAGCATCTTCAGTTAGGACTCTCATTTCATCTCAGGTTCAAGTCACATGTCACCTCCTCAGTAATAGCTTGTCAGATAATGAAAGAATTGGATTCTTCTCCAAAGGATTCACTGTTCTTCTTTAGCAATGTCTCAAGTGTTCAATTGTTGAAGAGAATGTGGTAATCTCCAGTGACTGGTATTGTAGCTATTATCCTGTCTCCAAAACTCTGTCAGTGTATGAGCTTGAAATCAGAACCCACTTCTTACATTCTCACTTCATCCTCAAACCAGGGCATCCCAAAACCAAGGCTTTCATCACTCACGGTGGAGCTAATGGGATCTATGAAGCCATTTATCACGGGATCCCAATGGTAGGAGTCCCCATGTTTGCTGACCAACCTGACAACATCGCTCACATGAAGGCCAAAGGAGCAGCTGTGGAGGTGAACATGAACACCATGACCAGTGCAGACTTGCTCAGGGCCCTAAGGACAGTCATTGACGATCCTTCGTAAGTCCTGCTGCTTTCCCAGAGCTCACCTGCACTCACTAATTGTCCATCACACAAGAAAATTCCCAACGCTTCATATTCCATATGAATACTGTACCATGAAGCTAATATAAAAACGAACTTTACAACTTTGGTGAGGGGAGGAAGAGGGAGGAGGATTCGCTGGGGGGGCGCAGGGAAAGGGAAGGGATGGGAAGGGGAAACAAAGGAGGAGGCTACAATGCTTGATAAGAAATGTACTCATTATCTTGCCCATGTAATTGTAACCCCTCTGTACCGTATTTGCACAATAAAAAAAAAGATGAAAAAAGAAAAGAGAAATCACATATTTCATTTCTCAATTGCTAGTATCTTGAAGTCAGAAAAATGACTTTAAAATACTCTTTCCACGTTTTTTCAAAATATTGTTTAATGATTCTATAAATTCTTACATAATTTTCTCAGTAATCTTTCTGATTATATAAATTAATGCATATATAAAAAAACAAAATAAAAATTCAGCCTAATTTTATTAAAATGAAAATTTAAGGCGATTATGTGCCCAATGTTAAACATTAATTATATTAATATCCAATGTTATTTAAAGTCATAATTTCCATTATGTTATCAAAATCACAAGTAAGGGCTTTGTTTAGATCATTAGTAATTCCTAATTTCATCTTTGGTTTTGAAAATGTTGACCTCTATTTCTTATAAATTACTATTTTACTATAATGTTAATTTCTGATCATTTGTTTCATGTCTTAAATATAAATGAAAGTATTTTTCATAATTCTTTTCAACTCTAAAAAATTTTACATTTGATAGTTGATTGATAACTATTGTCACAAAGAAATAGGGTCATAAATAACCATTAGAAATCACAGAGTAAAACATATATAATATAAAATACTTTTTTATTGTGCAAATACTGTACAGAGGGGTTACAATTACATGGGCAAGATAATGAGTACATTCTTATCAAGCATTGTAGCCTCCTCCTTTGGTTCCCCTTCTCATCCCTTCCCATCCACCCCCCTTCACACAGATCTCCTCCCCCCCCATCAAAGTTGTAAAGTTCATTTTCGACATAACCACTTGTACATCTCATTGTTGTAATGGTTAACTCTAAGCCTAATGCTAGCTCTGAGATTATCTGGGTTATATTGTAGAGCACATAAGCAAATACATGTTTATAGGTGGTATTTCTGAGGCTAGAACTCAGGGGCTGGTTGCTACCCTTGTGCATTTTCTTCTCGGGGATAGCATTCTAACATTTGATCATTTGATCAAAAAGCTCTACTGTGTGGTTTTGGTGGTTAATTAGAGTATCATGGACTTTCCTTCCTGGTCTAGCTCCAAGTATGATCCTCACATCTCAGCCTCCTGTGTAAGTAAGGTTACAAGTGTGAACTACCAGCTGCTAGCATGTAGATATTTTTTTATTTCTGAAAAGCAATTACTAGAACAAAATACAAATTTTAATAGTTCATAGTAGTTCTAATTATTCAAAATATGTATATAATCATAAGCTCCTAGCAGGAAAACATACAACAGAAATATTAATATGGTTTTTTATTATCTTGCTTCATTGATAAAAATGTATAATCTATTTTATTTCATTTGCATAAAATGTCATACATGTATTTCAAATTTGCAATTATAAATGTAGAAAAGAGCAAAGTAATCTGATTTGCAAAATAAGGTTTTTACTACCAATGCACTTTGCCTAAAATGCATTGAAATGACCATGAAATCACTGGGTCTTAGCTCACAGTTCAATACAGTTGAAAGGTAGCAAGATTATTCACTTTAACTAAGCTCAAAGAATACAAGTAAAATATTCCCTTCTTCTTAAGCAAATATACCATATTCACTTGGAACTGATACCCATATTCCCTTTTCCCAATGATAAAGGGGTAAAAGTAATGTATATGAATTCTGGCTCAGCTATCAGACAATATCAATTGTAGACATAATTGGCTTTTCATTCTGTAGCTATATGCTCAATGTTATATTAGAAATTGTGAAGACTGCTAACTCCATAGCTCTTGATATTGTGGTACCAAACTGATTTGAGACTCCAATTCTGTTTTATTCTTTTTTGTTTTCATTTTGCCAGTCCTGGGGCTTGAACTCAGGGCCTTGAGCACTGTCCCTGAGCTTCTTTGGCTCAAGACTAGCACTCCACCTCTTGAGCCACAGCTCTACTTCCAAGCTTTTTTTTTACTTATGTGGTACTGAGGAATCAAACCCAGGGCTTCATGCATGTTAGGCAAGCACTGTACCACTAAGCCACATTCCCAGTCTTGTTTTATTGTTTATAATTAATTTATTGTGATTATAGAGGTGACATGTAGAGGGATTATAATTGTATGAGTAAGGTAATAAGTACATTTCCTTTTGTACAGGGTCTTCTTTTCCCTCCCTCTCTCCCAATCCCTCCCGCCCGTCTCCACCTAAGAGTTGTATAGTTCACATTCATCAATGTGCAGGTAGCTCCACTGCTGCACTTTTTCACCATTTCTCTCTCAACCATCCAAAGTCTGTATGCCAAAGTACACCACTTTTCAAATATCATACTATCTTCAGTTTTATAGACTCATTCACTGCTGCAGGGGCCTGTCCTTCATATAACAAGTATATAGATGTGTGCAACTGAAAAATTACCATACTGCGATTATCTCAGATCTGTAAAGTGGCCTACTAATGTTGAATACCACTTTCTTTGGTCAGATAAACTAGTCATACATTAGTGGTTAGGAGGGTTATAAATATCATGATTGCATAATATTTAATCATTCACCATCTTGCTCATAGAGCATACACATCTGTTGAACAAATATCAACTTTCTTTCAGGGGAAAATGTGTCTGTATGTAAGCCACTAGATAGTCTTTTTTTTTTTTTAGCTTTTATTCAATCACATTGTATAAGAATGTATTATTCCACACCTCCCGCTTCATAACTCTTAAAATTCTGTGCTACTAACCAAGTTTATGTAAAAATTAAATGTTTCCTTAACACATCTATGTCCTTTGGCTTGTATAGCCTAAGCCATCTATTACATCCCTCCATTAAAAGTAAAAACATTTTGTCTGTGGATTTGCCTTCTAGTTATAAGGAAAATGTGATGAGGTTATCAAGAATTCACCATGATCAGCCAGTGAAGCCTCTGGATCGAGCTGTCTTCTGGATCGAGTTTGTCATGCGCCACAAAGGAGCCAAGCACCTTCGGGTTGCAGCCCACGATCTCACCTGGATCCAGTACCACTCCCTGGATGTAATTGGCTTCCTGTTGGCCTGTGTGACAGTTGCTTTATTTTTGGTGGTAAAGTGTTGTTTGTTTGCTTGTGGAAAATGTGGTAAGGCAGGAAAGAAGAGAAAAAGAGAATAGAACAAGAAAAAGAAGGAGGAGATATTTCTAAGTACGGCCAAGTCATTGGTAGAGCAATCCTATTCATCACAGTAACAAAAAGCTTACTGATTATTCTCTCTTCCTGCCAATTACAAATATTCTATTCCTATACCTTACTTAAGAGATAAATTGTAGAAATCCTTCTGATCACTAACTGGTCAGTGTTTCCCTTTGTTTCTTCACTTGTTATTTGCCAGTGGCCTTATCATTTCCCCCTCTCACTTTCCTGACACAGGAAATATATTCTATTATATATTCTAGATATATTTTATTCAAAATAAGATTTATTTTCAAAGCAATATTAACATAATATGCTAACAGCAATATGCTGAATCCATGGAATACACAGAATCTAAACAGAATTTCCAGAATGAAGGGAGCTTGCAAGTGAAGTTCACAAGGCCCCAATGATCAAACACATCAAGAAATACTATATGAGACAACAGTTCTGAGATTAATGATCTCCTCTTTAATAATAATAAGCATCCAGTAGATGCTTGAGTCTGAAACATCTTGTCATTTCATTTAATAAAAAAAAATGCTAAAATTTGTTTTGAAATGTTAGGTTTTTGCTAGAATGAAAGAGGAGACAATGTTTTTAAAAGCTGGGAAATTCTAAGAAACATATATAATAATATAATAAATAATAAATATAATATAGAACATTCAAAAAATCATTTTGTTAACCCACATTTTGTAAAGAAGTAAATAAATGTATTGAACAGATAGCTATCCCTTAAATTGAATTGCAAGATTTATATATTGATTCTATTTATATAGCCTTAATAAGTTCAACTAAAAAATCTTATATTTTTCAAATATGCTGCCTTCTTCTGTTCTGTTCATTATGCAACTGCACATGCATTTACTTGTCCAATCTTTAATTTTTTCATTTTTGACATATACCAGTCTTTCTTTGGCTTCTAGTTTTGAACAAAAATGGTCAATTACATTTTAGAACATCAGGTTTTTATTCTGAAATTTGTTGATGATTCGGTCATTTGTCAATAAAAATGCAATGAAGGCAATCATTTGTCCTATTCTAAATAGTATATCCAAAAGTACTTAAAGTATCAAGTTCTCTTTTTTTCACCACTGTAATTGCTGTCTGTTGGAGATGACAAGAAACTATAAAAATTCCAGTAAACATATACTTGTCCACACTTTACCAATCTTCATAATAATATTGTGATCAGTAAATGTAGAAGAAATCATGGAAGAGATATTCTATTATGCAAACAGTATTGTAATAAATTCTAAAAAGTAGGGGAGAAAAGGCTGAATTTCATTTTCAACTTCATTTGAAGTATCCCAAAGTAGTTATAAACTTATATATTCTTATAAATTTATATATAAACTTATATATTCTAGATATATACCAATTTTATTTTTCATTACAAATAAATAGTATTATTGTATAAATAATACAACATTTAAAGTTTCAAATACAAATGTTTCTGATAGGAAGTATTATTTCATGGTGAATAGGAATAGGCCACTTGCTGTCTAATTCGAATTTCTTTATGAAACCCTTGAAGACAGGGTAAAAGGTTTCCCAGAGTTTCTTCTACTTCATTTTAAATAAATCTCCACATAAAAGACCATGGGAAACATACTAATTATTCCTAAGGACAATATTGTTCAACCCTATAGTGGGAGTCAGAATCATTCCATATTCTTTCTGTAAAGTGCTGTGTGGTACAATTCCCTTGTAAAATTAAGCTAGATTGCTAGAGCCATAAGTGGTTTCTCCTATGAGGCAAGGCATTGTGGGAAAACTTTTCTGCTTCCACATCTCCACACACTTTAGTCTAACACCATGTGCCTTTCAAGGAAAAGTTCAAGTTTGGGTGAAAGTTATTGATTCAGAATTTCTGTTTTACTTTCCAAGAGGACTCTTCTAATTTTACATTCTTGCCAAAAGTCAAAAACATTTTAAAGAACAGTTTTACATTGTATTCTGTTAGATATGTTAGTTTCTAAAAAGAGAGACTATATCTGAACTTTGTAATTTAGTTAACTGAATACATACTAGTGTGTAACTAGACCTTACTTTTCTGACAATGGAATTATGAGATTTTTTTTCTAAACATGAATGTATTTGAAGGTCAGTTTTAAAATTTTTCTGGGGACATAGTCTATCATTTTTCTGGTATTTGTTTAAAAAGCTTTATTATGTTTCATGAATGTTGTAATAATAGTATATAGAAAATTAATTGTGTTCCTATTTAATATAGTAATTTACATATATATTTTTAATGTGTGTGTCTGTTAATGTATGTGTGCTTTATGTGTAGATGTGTGTGTGTGTGTGTGTGTGTGTGTGTGTGTGCCATCGTAAGGCTCACACACCAAGGCATAGGCACTGTCCTTGAGCCTTCCTTCTCAAGTCTCATTCTCTATCAGTTGAGCCACACATCTCTAGTCTGGCTTTTTGGTTGTTAATTGGAGATAGATGTTTCACAGACTTTTCTGCCCTCTCTGGCTTCTAACCCTGATTCTCAGCTCTTTGCCTCCCCAGTATCTAGGATTACAAAGCTTGAGCCCCTGGCACATGGTTTCATTTCTGTATTGCATTTGTGATTTTACTTTATTGCTCCAGCCCATTCATTCTTTAAAAAGATTTTAATATTCTAAAGTGATGGAGTTAATATTTTCTTAGAGAACTTTTTTGACACTGTTATCATCAATATTAGGTTACCTAGTTGTATCAAGACGTTTACCCTCTAAGATTATAATGTTAATATTTTCTATATTTTCTTAGTGTACTCATTTGACACTGCCTTATAAACGTGATTGGGATTTCAGGTTATATTATTTTTTGCTTCATTGCTGTTTCCTGGAGAGTTTTCTTTGGCCTGTAATTTATCAAATGTCACTAGAAATGATTCAATTCCCAATTATACAACATTGCACAACTCTCTGATTTTGTAATAAACCTAATTTGGGTCCCTTTTCTAGAAAAAGAAAGGTGTTTTCATTAACTTGAAATTTCAATAATTCACACCTTTATTAGAAGTGAAATAATACTTGCTAAAGCTCATTAGCTCATATAGAATTGCATATACATCATCATTCTCAAAATGAATGTTTTTCACTTTGCTAAGGTACTCAGACTTTTAATATATATTTTTATTGTAAAGATACTGTACAAAGGGGTTACATGAGTAAGATAATAAGTACATTTCCTACTGAGCATTGTTACTTCCTCTTTTGTTTTTCCCCTACCATCCCTTCCTTCCCCACCTCCCCAACTCCTCCCTCCCTACCAAGTGGTAAAGTTCGTTTTTAACATAGTGTCTTGTACATCTCATTGTTACAATGGGTCAACCTGTATCCTTGTTTCAGCATTTTGTTATTTCCCTTCTCCTCCCTAATGCTTGATAGGAAATATACTCATTCCCTTGCTCCTGTAACTGTAACTCCCTGTACAGTATTTTTACAATAAAAAACATATAAAAATAAATAAATAAAATGCAGGTGATATAAACAAAAAGAAAATAAATATATTCATTAGTTATGCAATGGTAATCCCTCTGTACATAGCTGTTATGATAAAATTATTTAAAGAAAAATGTATATACAAGATGTAGGGCATCAGAATCAAATACAGTGTAAAGAGGTGTTGTACCATGGGGGAAGGACATATAGAAGAAACAAAAAAACTCAGAGTACATTAAAAACAGCAACAATGATAAAACCTCTTGTGTCCCTATCTTGGGGTTCATTTTGCTTAGCATCATCTTATGTGATAATGTCTACATAGCTTTTGACCTTTTCTGCTTGTCAGACATTTTTTTCTATTCAATCTAATATTTAGCAAAGGCATTATTTCATCATTCCCTTCAACCAAACCAGTTCCTTCATAGGTTATGTGTTTCTATCTTAGAAGAATCTCATATATTTCTTCTATTTCTAGAGTAAATGTTGGCTTGACTTAATTCCTGCAATGATGTGTGGCTCACCTTGAATTGAAACAAGGCTGTGATTGCCTTGCTACATCCTGTGCATTGTAAGCAATGTCCAGTGTGCTATAAAGGGTATGTAAAAACTATGATTTAAAAGGCATTTAGAGAGAAAGTGAAGTTAGGATAGGTGACTAGATAAAAACATCTAAATTTGTAAGTTTTAACCTTCCCCTAAAATGGAAACATTCACAGGCTCAATGCAAATATGCACAGATCTGTCCAATAATTGATTTAAGAACAAAGTTGAAATTTCAATTCCCCTAAAGTATTTGTAATTTAGACTTTCGTGTCTATAATCATTATCATCCACTACTTCCTATTTGTTGTTCAAATGTTAGTAACATCACACTAATCGGTCTCATATTCCTATGCTTTTTGTACACAAACCATCATTTGATTCCCTGTGACATACTTCCTTTTTTTATTTTCATTTTATTGTCAAGATGATGTACAGAGGGGTTACAGTTACGTAAGTAAGATAGTGAGTACATTTCTTGTTGTACTTGTTATCCCTTCCCTCATTTCTCTCCCATTTTCTTTCCCCTCCTACTCCCCCCCCAGCCCCCAGTTGTACAGATCATTTCCAATGTAGTGTCTTGTGAATATCGCTGTTGCATTGGTTCTGTCCTTTATTCTCACCTTTTGCTGTTCCCCTTCCATCCCTTGATTCAGATAAACATATGTACCATACCCAGGGTACCAAAATCAAATACAGTGACAACAGAGGATAAACCATAGTGGGGAAAAAACACACAAAAGAAACAAGAAATCACATAGTAAACTTGAGTACAGCGGTATCATCAAGGCTCTCCAAAGCCTCCTATTTTAACTGGCATATTCCTTTTGACAAGTTCAATGTCACCCTTCCTCCTCACATATGGAATTAAGACTGCTCTATTGATAAACAACATTTAATGCAAAGCATTCTGCTGTTCTTCTGAGTATCTATCTTTAGCCAAATCTGCTTCTGGAATCAACTGATAAGCCTGCTACCATTCAAGAAGACAGAAAAAAAAACATTAACAGAAAAGAGAGAGGTTCTTCTCCTGAGGTTCTGAATCAATGTAACTCTTTAAAAATTATTTTGTCAGCTGGGTGCTGGTGGCTCACTCCTGCAATCCCAGCTACTCTGGAGGCTGAGATCTGAGGGTTGCGATTCAAAGCCAGTCTGGGCAAGAAAGTCTGTGAGACTCTTCTATCCAATAACTCACTCAGAAAACCGGAAGTGGTGCTGTGGCTCAAGTGGTAGAGAGCCAGCATTGAGCTGAAGAGCTGAGGGACAGCGCCCAGGACCAGAGTTCAAGACCCATGACCGACAAAAAAATTGTCTTCTTCATATAATGTAAGGAGCAGCTACAGATAAGTATGTAGTTTTTTAAAAAAGATCTTCTGGGTTTCCCCAAAATTTCATAGTATTAATTAGATATATATTAGCTCCTTTATTGTATTTAGAAATTTATATTAAAATAGCATTTTAGCATATCTAAAATAGAATTATTGGAATAATAGAATCAATTCCTAGCCAATATCTAAGTGTATTTCATCTCTTGTACAGATGACATACAGGTGCTTCATCTCATCATCCAAATGGACAAAGTTTTCTCAACCTGTGTTCTTTCATAACTCTAGAAGTTAATCATTGACCCCTTGAACCGCCCCTTCCACCTCCCTCACATACATACTCTATCTACACAGAGCAGTCTGAGAGAATCATGAATCCAAATTCAAAGTGGGCTTTGACAAGTCTGCTGCTTCAGCTGTGCTGTGTGAGCTGTGGACGCTCTGGGAAGGTCTTGGTGTGGCCCTGTGAAATGAGCCATTGGCTCAACCCTAAAGATGATTCTTGAGGCACTCATCTGCTCACAATATTTTAGTGCATTGTTGAAAATCCTCAGCACTGAATTTCGAGGTGATCCAAATGCCTTATGACAGAGAGAGTGCAATGAAGGAAATGGAAGACTTTTTAGACCTACTTGTGAATATCATTCCAACATTGCCATTCTGGCAAGCAGCAAGCACATTCCAAGAACTCTTTCTTAACAACACTGGAAAGTTTGAAATGCTCTGTAGGAGTGCAGTCTACAATAAGTCACTCATGATGAAACTCCAGGAAACGAAGTATGATGTAATGGTGATCGACACTGTCATTCCCTGTGGAGAGTTCCTGGCTGAGTTGCTTGAGATCCCTTTTGTGCTTACATTCAGGGTCTCTATAGGTAACACCATAGAGAGATACTGTGGGCAACTCCCAGCTCCACTTTCCTATGTACATATGGCCTTGGGAGGACTAACAGACAGAATGACCTTTGTGGAAAGGGTGATGATGACATCTCCCCATTTGTTAGGAAATGGAAAGATTTGGAAAAATTTATATTAAGCGAAGTAAGCCAGGCCCAAAGAAATGTAGGTCCCATGTTTTCCCTTATTTGCAGTAAATAGTATATGTCTAAGACAAGCAGAAAAGGTCAAAAGCTATGTACATATGACCATATAAGATGATGTTAAGCGAAATGAACACCAAGATAGGGACACAAATATCTTTTTTCTTTCTTGCTATTGTTTCTAACATATTTAAAATGTACCATGTGATTTTGTAGTTGCTTTGTATGTTCCTAGATCTGCTGCACTTAAATTCCACATACTTGGTGACCTAAATATTGTATTTTGAGCAATTCTCAGAGTTGGTTTCTCCTGGGGTTTCTCTCTGTATTTTGCACAGAGCTATCCTGTAGTTTTCATGGACATTTGTTTATACAGGGGCATCTTGGCTGTTCCCATTCAGAGGACCACCAGATATGCTGGATTGAGTTCCTACACTTGAGTTAATTTACACTTCTTCAACTCTAATGCCCTCTCTGCAAGAGTCAAGATTAAACATGTAAATCTGGGAGAAATACAATTTAGTCCATAATGCTGAATTACAGCAGAAATATTGTTTCGTAGAACTATTGTTAAAAGAACTCCTTTAAATATCTACAGTGTTAGACATGTTTTAAATGAATTAAGAAGTGTATTCTCTTTAACACATATGTCACACTTAAAATATTTTTTCTTTGTTGGAACCTTGAGCTAAAGATTAAAGAGTTGCTTTCTTTATATGTGGCTACCTGGATGAAGACATTCTCTGATTACAATCACTAAGGGTTAGAAACTGTTATTCTTTAGAATGTTTTATTTTTCTCTTCAAGATTGATTTAAAACCTACCTCAAAATTTTCCCTTACACAAGGCACCTGCAGCTTTTGTTTGTAATCTTATCTATTCAGGAGTCTGAGGTCTGAGG